GATTTTGAAAAGCAGCACTGGGAACCTCCGATTAGAATCCAGTTCAAATTTTTGTTCAAATGTACACTTCAGAGCTAAAGACAAATGCTACTTACCTTGTTCATTATCTTTTGCACTTGCTCCACCCGCAGGCTTTCCTAACCATCCTCATAGAGGTATGTAAAGATGAACTTAAATACTTTAAGCCATTTAGCTATAGATCTGAGCTGAAATGCAAGGTATGTCTTCGATAATTCGAGTGATGGTAGAAACAAAGCATACATTATGTTTTCAAAGTGACTTAAGTGTGAAACCTACGTTGTAATGAAACTTTCTTGGTATGTTTCAGGCTTTGAGACAATCACCTACATGCTGGAAGTAAATAACAAGTTTTTGCGTAAGCTTTTGTCTCTTACTAGAAGTTCAGGAAACCAAAACTATTTTCCTTCAATTTGTCTTGCAATTGCAGTGTCGATGTTAAGACAACTAGCAGATGCCTTCAAAAAGCATCCTCATATGATGTTTGGGGCAAAGCAGAATTGTAGTGTTTGTTTTTTGAACAAGAATTAGCTTTCCAGGTGGGCTCTGGTGCATTTGCATGATTGATTAGACCAATGACTGATATGTCACTAAGCTGTTGATTTTAAAAGTAAGCTCAAATTAAAATAGTCGTGCTATGAAGTATCTACTTGTTATCAGTCATAAACCTAGAGCAAGACCAAAGATTTGAGCAGAGAGAGTAGGAATATATTGCTGTAGAGTAAGTGAGGGTAGAAATAAGTAAAGAAGGTACAAGCGAGTTCAAATTTCTGGATCTTGAGGATATGACAGCGAGACATAGCTCGGGAGGAAACTGCAAAAAGCGAAGAAGATCATGAAGATAGAGGGTAAGGAAGCAGACCTGACTTGGCTAGTGAACCTACGAGTAAATTGCAGGTTAATATCCTGGTACATAAGGTTTTTGACCCGTATCTGTCCGCCATGCAAAACTTTTGCAGTACAGTCATCAGAGATCAATTAATATATGGAACAGGCAGACAAGACAAGGCCGTAGCTTTGGCCTCGCCCTCCTCGTCCGCTCTACGGGCTCACTTTGCGCTTACCACAGCGGCTCATCGGATAAGCACAAGTAGCTCTTTATACTCAAGACATGGCAGATCGTGTCCAAGCTGTTACTAGGAAGCCTGGTTTGGCTTAATCTCAAGCTTCATGCGATGCGCAACCGAAGCTACATGTGAACATGATGGATATAATTGGCTTAGTGTGTCCCTTGGATGGGACTCTGAGTTCAAAATATGTTTCAATTCGCTATGTTAGGAGCTAGCTGAGGTTGTATGAGGAATCATAGCTAGCGAGAAGAGAACCCAAATGGATTCAAATTACCTACTACTTGTAATGTACACGATAGGGCTCGAAAAGCATAGACTGTTACTATGTAACTTCACCTAGAAAGTACACAAAGCTTGTGCATTTGAAATTATCATATGTTAAGGCTCAATGAACAATATCGGAAGGCATGAATTTTTGAAGTGGAAATACCCAAGAAGTGATCGTACTCCACACTTAAATGAATCTGGTTCAAGATGAAAGCAAGCTACTCACAGAGCTTCGTATAATTCATTTCCTTCAGAAAGATGGAAAGTACGACTACTTCATTTCCACATATGTATCCATGTTGGAAATAAACTTGAGTCCAAGGAACCGACTTCGGCTAGCCGGAATGCATTCCAGTCTTCACTTTATCACCATCTGCTACTCAGTGCTCCTAAGGACTTCCAATCTTTTATTTTGGTTCTCGGTCATCCGTGCAGGTGTTGAATGATGATCTACTTTTGAACAGAAATATATCATTTGATTGAGAAGTGCTAGCAACAGGTACGTGATTCATCTCTGTCATATGTCAAACCCGCGCATCATGCCTACTTTGATAAGAAGGAAAGTCAAGTGACTATACCAGCGTCAGCTGTCTAAGGCTGTATCACAACCGTCAATATTTAGACTTATGCTTCCCAGAAGTCGCTGTGATGATCAATAATAAATCAAGCTCAACAGAATTTATTGTGGAGGTCATCCATAGGGGTAGTAGCCTATGATTGATCGACCTCACATGATTATACACCCGCTGAACTGAGCAACTCTCAAAGTAATGAACGCAGATTAGTCATGTAGGCTGGGGCTTGTCTGCGGCACGCACGCAGTGGATGTCTCCTTGAGGCTTCTGAAGCCTCTTACGAGTCAAATGAGCTTGCCGGAGAATTTGTTTGAGGCTACACACGTGAATCGTATACAACGTTTTGAATACGGATGATCCTTAGAGAACCTTGCTTCCAAATTATATGGCAGGAAGGAACAATTTATTCACGGTCATAACATCCCAAAGCTTCCCTCCGTCCAATCGAAATGGCTGAGAATGGCCTAAAGTGATGGAAAATTCCTTCAAGCTCATGGAACTCGAGCAGATACGCAGTGTGGCATAAAGACGCAGATCTACTTCGTGTACCATGATATTTGGCAAATTTCTAGTCTCCTTGAAAAGCCGGAAAGTATCTTAGTCCTCTACTTGCAAACGATTTTTTGAGAACTGCAAGCAGTAATCTTCACTCCAAGCCATGTGCTGCACTCACAAAAAACTGTCAGTGATATACTGGAGGAAGGTGGGGATGACGTCAAGTCCGCATGGCCCTTATGGGCTGAGGAGAAAGACAGCGGCGAACAGATCGCTGTCCGGCAGAGCTTTATTTATGTAACTGATCGAAACTCGAGTTATGATGAGCATTCTAAGAATGTAGCAATCTACAATCCAAGAACAACAATGATTTTGCGGCCATAAAAAATGTTGGACGAGCAATTGTTTCGAATTGTGCAATGTACTTATCACTGCAGCAACTGAAGTCAATGAATATGCGACTCACCTTGCTTTGGCGGGGCTGAAAATGCACTATGCATTTCTCCTCGCATTGTGATCAATTGGATGATCCAATGATACTTTCAAAGCCCATTACTCTTTGAAACGTCGATTTTCTCTTTCATGCCATCCACATGAGTAATTTCAGGTTTTTAACGAGCAATTCTTCGTTTCTTGCTAGTTTTCGTCGATATAGCATCACCTTCACTTAATTCAACTTTCTCATTACCAGTATTGAATCCAACGGGGAGGCTCGAAGAAATGTGACTCGCTAGCGGAAAGTGCATTCTCGAGAATGAATGCACGAAGGACCGTGGAAAAATAAAACCTGGGTGTGAAAACTTTTTGAAAAAGGGCGACAATGGAATGGTAGTACTACCCTACGCATTGATATCCGACCCCATAACCGGACAGTTGGAACCTGATGCATTATTCGTGAAATCATACGGCGGAGTTTCCTGTGACTGCATCGCGTCAAGAAAATCTCGAGAATACTTCTATTGAGTGGAAGTACTCTTCGAAGAAACCTGGACAAGGCGCTAATGCCCACGTGGAGTTGGAGTTTTCGTAAAAATCGGAATTCCAGGCGGAAGTGCCTGGTACTCCAGAGCGATAGTTTTTTTTGCCATCTAGGATTTTTCTAATTGCCGTTCCTTCCCGTGTGGTAAGGGGCGCAGCAGGCCTGCTAATGAGAGTCGAGTATTCTTTGCCGGTGCAGGTGGTGTGGTTTGGCCCTTAGTTTCAATTAGGGTAAATCGGGTGGCCAGTGAGGACACCTTTACGAGAGAAATCTAGTATTGGAACGTTTTACCACAGGAAGATAAGCAACACATTGAAGAAGTTCGCCAAGATAAGAACATTTGAACCTTTCCTATATTGTAGAACTAGTACTGAACAATATACACTACATAAATGGGCAACCGGGAAAGTCTAACTTAACGGCCGTTCATTAGTGTGCGTACTCTTTCCGGCTCCCTTACCCATCCGAATCCCGTGTCTTAATCGGGTCCAATCTTTCTCTACAAAACAAAGAATCAACTGACGAGTTGCTGTTTTACATGAGTATTCCAAGGATTTGCCTGATGTCCAAACCACATTTAGGTCAGGAAACTTGGTTTATACATTAAAGTGTGTGGAGACTGATTGAATGTCCCCTTTTCTTTTCCATTAGTAAATAAATTGAAAGTACGGACAAATTTATAAAAATATAGCTTACATAGAATTCTTAAAAATTTGACCCTTGGATTGATCATTTTCCCGACACATAATCTTTTTCTTCATTTAGTTTGTTGAAATTTATTGTGGGAAAAGCACGTTGCTAACATGTCCCGATGTTTATTTATTCATTGGGTGGTCTATACCAACTTGAAAAACCTCACCTGACCTTGTAAGACAAATTTCCTTATTTTCATGGCTTATACGCTGAGAGTCAAATTGTAAGAAACATTCGAGCGATTCGTATTAATATACAAACTTGGCCCGTGCAGATTTCAGCATACTGTAATTGGATGTTTAACCCCGAGATCTGTGAGATGGTCAACTTATGTTCCCTACCGAAGGCTCTTGGTTCCAATTCCTGCCTTAACTGGTTCAACATGTCGAAGTGCTTCATATGAGCTAAGTAATATTTTTTTCGTGCATATACGCTGTCGTTAACCATATTGTCTGGCACGATACGCCATGAGTTTCTTAAGGATATGATTAAAACTACACTTTACCATGATGTACCGTGTAAATTGAAGCCATTCGAACTTTGAGCACATTGACTTTAAAATTAATCTGGTTTGCATTACAATTATTTAAAATAGGAGACAAGAATTTTTTTTCCTACGTTATTTAGAAACATTCTGAAAAGAAATTAATCTTGATGGAAATGATAGGATGGTGAAAAAGGTGTCCTTTGATGTCCAAGAGGGGAAAAAATAGAGCAAACGAATGTCTCCGAAGATAAAAGATAAAATAATACAGATTTAAATACAACTGGCCGAAAGTAAGTATATCTCTGGTAAACCTTCAGAGACGCTGGACCGAACTTCCCGGCCGACGGTGCCGTCGATGGGAAGGGGAATCGGAGCAGATCAAAGTGCAGGAGGAGCCGAATTATCGGCCCTCGCCACAAGTCAATCATATTATCCGTCTAAAATATCCAATTCGTAATTTTATCTCGCCATTGCCCGCTCCCAAGACTATCCGTGCCGTGCGAAAGCTGCACCTCCTTCGAGCCAATCCTTCGCAAATTCGTGATTTGAACGCCTATGGAGTGAGGCCGTCGTTGCCATATCGAAGCTTTGGGAGGAGCAATTGCGCGAGGAAAATGCCCACCACTGCAGAGAATTGGATAGGACGAGGCATGGGCTCGAAGAACTCGGTGTCCGTGTTGCTGTTGTAGGTAGGACGCGTCGAAAGATTCGCAGACAACTGGCGGGATAGGAAATTGAGGCGTTCTGATTTTTGTTCACAGCAGGCTCTGTTTTTGGGCTTTGAGTTTGGAAGCTGATTCTGCTTGTGTGCATTAGCAGCGGTGGTATTAGAATCTCAGGTTCTCATGTTGGGCGCTCGAATTGGGTTTGGGGTTTGAGGTTTAAGCTTTGAGGTTTAATGGACCGAAGATGAAAATCTTGTCTGATACACCGACATTGTTGTATTTGCAGTTGCAGGCTGGATTGATTCAGAAATCATTTCAGCCCCATAGCTGGGCTGAAGTTTATAATGACTACCTCCTCGAGTTTGGGCCTAAGAAGCCTTTCCCCAATTAGCTTCCTGTCCCATGGGAATTCCAGAGCGATCTCTCGTCCTGCTTCTTGGGCTCCGGGAATGGGGTTTCTCAAGTTGGGCCTCTCTGCCAGTTGTTCACGGATCAAACACACGAACTCGTTACGGTCCCGTTTTGCGGTATGCTTTCATTGCCCAGTTTTGTGTCGTTGTGATATCTTCCAAGTTTTGAAGTGTCAGTTCATTTGGTTCTTCGTGGAGTCGATTTTGACATGTCAGAGTGTTGTTGGTTATTCAGGTGAGTGTTGTAAGTCCAGTTGCTGCGGCCGTCTCTGCCGATGGCAACGATGATGGAGAAGACGATGAAGATGAGTTTTCGGAGGAGGTTCTGGAGAAGGAAGCGGCGAAGGTAGCGAAGGCCTACTCGCGGTCTCTCCTCGAACAAATTCGCGAGGGTGAGTCTCAGAGAATAAGCCTCACGTGGGCAGGAAGTTAGAAATGTCGCTACAAGTAGTGCAGCAAATTCTCATTCCGTTTAGCTGACAAATGTTCTCTTCGGCAGAGGACGAAGCGGAAGCTAGCGGAGGGAGAAAGCGGAGGAAGCCAAAAGTTGAAGTTGAAGAAATTGAAGAGTCTCGCATCCCTGACAATCTTCTTCCCAAAGTGGCCATTGTTGGGAGACCAAATGTGGGAAAGTCGGCTCTATTTAATCGCCTTGCTGGGGTACATGCTACAACTTTGCTCTTCTTTCTGAGTTTGTAAATATGAAATTCGGCACTTGATTATTTACCTTGAGGTAACACATGCATACGAAAGAAGGAAGAGAAGAAATGAACGACACTAAGCAGCTGAATTTACTCTTCCTGGCAAAGTCTTCTGGCACAGTCTTGAATAAAGAGCCAGGGAATCTACATTATGTCTGTACATAGTAAGAGCCCTCCCCTCACTGATTCTGAGGTCTACAGGGTGATGTGGCCATTGTACATGATGAACCAGGCGTCACTCGAGATCGTCTATACACGAGGGCTTTTTGGGGCGAACAAGAATACATGCTGGTGGATACAGGTGGTGTTTTGACAGTTCCTTCTTCTGGGGTTACGACAACGGACGGTATTGCAATCACCACAGGCGGAGGTTCTGATGCTGTAGTTCAGGCTCTGAAAGAAGCTGCGGCTGCTGGTCTTCCGGCTTTGATTGAAAAGCAGGCAGCAGCTGCTGTGGAGGATGCCGATTCTATCATATTTGTAGTAGATGGGCAGGTAACTATGACACCAAGCAAGTTCATAAAGAAAATTGTATCGTATTGTAGAATTGCTATATTTTTTGTCTGAAAACTTACTGAGCCGTTTATTGGAATACTTTTTGGAGTAACTTTGCTCTTTGCTTCAAGTTTAATAGTCTTCCCTCATGAAGCTAGGATGCCGGGATTTTATGAATGAGCTTCTGCCAACACGCGTGAGTTCGGAAGTCTAGTACTAGCTTCTGGTCAGACGTCTGCGTCATTCTTCTCGCTCATTGAAGATATGGATGTCTGCAGACTGGTCCCACGTCAGCCGATATCGATATTGCTCAATGGTTGAGGAAGAAACATTCAGACAAGAGGGTGACCCTTGCAGTTAACAAGTGTGAATCGCCGACGAAAGGACTACTGCAAGCCGCAGAATTTTGGTCCCTTGGGTAAGCTGTTCGTCATTGTGGTCAGAAGTCCTTTTTTTGAACACATAGTCGTCCATTATGTGCCGTTGTGCATTCGTAGAGAAAAGCATAATCATATTGGTCTGTCCTGTTTTCCTCGAATACTCATGCTCTTATGTTTTTATTCTCTATTTTCTCTTCTTATGTTATTATCAAAATAAATCGATGTTTTGCCACTCGATGTCTCGACAGGCATGGATAATTGTATTTATCTTTTTTGTATTGAAGTTAAATAGAGAAAACCTTTCAACATCCGTTTCAGAATATCCAGATGTTTAAGTTTCTCTGTTTAGGACTTGGTATACCTGGATTCTGTTTAGAGAATTTCTGACCAAAACTGAGAACTGACTTCGTCGTTCTGGCACCAGATTTACCCCTATAGCAGTCTCTGCAATCTCCGGGACCGGAACAGGAGATTTATTAGATAGTGTTTGTCTCGAACTGACGAACCCTGAGGTGCGTCTTAAATCTCATTACTTATATATTCTATCGGGGTTACCTTCTTAATGATGCATCAAAAAAATTGTGCTTGACTCTTCCGCTCCATAATTCTTTCCATTGACCACAAAAGGCTTTTAGAAGTCGGAGCTGACCTGTTCCATATTCTGGTAATTATTAGGTACCAGACGACATCCCTGAAGAGGAGAGACCGTTGGCCATATCTATCATCGGTAGACCAAACGTGGGGAAAAGCAGCATCTTGAATGCTCTGGTTGGTGAAGAGCGAACGATAGTCAGTCCAGTCAGTGGTACTACTCGAGATGCTATTGACATGGAGTTCACCGGTCCTGATGGGCAGGTATGCTTCCAGTTGTCATGTTTTCATCGCTTGTTTCCTTCTTAAAATTCGTTGGAGCTATAACTAGCTGTGTTGTCTATTGCAGTCATAACACATTTTTTACATCGACAAATCAGGTTCAAGATTTTTGTTACGCGCTGGGTGTTGCTACGGATAGAAGATTTACTTCTAAGTGAATGGTATGAACAATGTGGTTTGCAGTTATTTCAACTTATAGACACCGCTGGAATCCGAAGAAGGACTGCAGTTGCTTCAGCTGCAAGCAGATCTGAGTATTTATCAATAAATCGAGCTTTCAGGGCCATTCGGCGATCAGACGTTGTAGCCCTTGTCATTGATGCAATGACTTGCGTCACGGAGCAGGTTTTTACTTATCCTTTACTGTTTGTCATCTGCTTGAAATAGCTTAATATCGATGAACCCTGTGAGGAGTACCAGGAGATTGTAAAATTCATGCCTCACGTGATGTTTAAGCAGTAGTTGAGTGTTTCTCTTCGTGTTCTATCTAAACTCCTCTGTTCTTTAGTCTTTTAACATCTGGAATCTGGCAAAAGCTCGAGTCTGTTTCAACTTTCAGCTCAAGCATTGGTTAGCTGGCCTCCTCTTAATCTCCCCTCCTATTATACGACTGCATCATACACCCCAGTACTCCGTCACATATGTGGTATATCGTATCGAGCAGTCGGCTGTCTTTTGTGAACCCAGGACTTCAGATTAGGAGAGAGAATTGAGAAGGAGGGAAAAGCATGCGTTATTGTTGTAAACAAGTGGGACACGGTTCCCGACAAAGACTCCCAGAGTACGTACTGGTACGACATCGATGTTCGAGAGCGTTTGCGCGGGCTTGACTGGGCTCCAATCGTGTACACATCTGCCACAAGCGGACAGAGAATTCAGAGGTAATGCATTTTTACTGTCCTATACTCCGAATTGGTGCTGGTGTTCGTGGCTTGGTGCGGAGTTTTAACTCATGGGTGGCCCTTTGGTGCAGAATACTGGATGCTGCCAGTGATGCCGGGAAGGAAAGGTGTCGAAGGTTGAGCACGGCAGTTCTTAATCAAGTGATTCAGGAAGCACTAACTCTGAAGCAGCCTCCCACGAGCCATGGGGGCAAGAAAGGTCGTGTCTACTTCTGCACTCAGGTGAACTCTCATCCTAAAATCTTCTTATCTGATGCTAGTTTTGCTTGCTGTTGGTATATGCTTGCGCTAGGTCCTGAGGTTTCCATGCAAGCTTAGGCTTAGGAAAACATTCTGTTAGGGAAGATTATCTATAGCCGTTTTTGCTCAATCTGGTTCAGACGCTGACACTGCAGAAACGAACAAAACCCTTCAGTTAGTATTGACCATCGAGTTTACTCCTTGTCAAAGTATACACAAGCTGGTCTTCTTCTCACAAAAGCAAACAGAACGTCAGAGGTGGATGGATCTCGTGCGTAAACGCATGAGCATAACTTCGTATAATGCTCATGGACGAAGTGAGTAGTGGGCAGTGAACATGGGTGCTAACTCTTACTTTATTCTGTCCAGGCTGCAATTCGACCACCAACTTTTGTGTTCTTTGTGAATGATGCCAAACTGTTCCCTGAGCTTTATCGGCGCTACATGGAGAAGCAACTGCGAGCGAATGTTGGTTATCCAGGGACTCCGATCCGTTTGTTGTGGCGGAGCAAGAAGAAAACTGAGCGACCTAAACCAGCGAATGCTGCTACGAGATCCAAACCTGCATATTCTTCACGAAGATATAATTGAGCGTACCCAAAAGAACTTGTGTAGGACGTGAGCACAGCCATCTTAAAACTTGTCACAGCAATTTCACCACCAACAGGTCCGGGCAGCATGTTTCTGGAGATTGGGGTGTCTGATAAGAAGCGCCTATAAATACTCGTGATGAAAACAAGCAACGAGAAAAATCGCAACGGAAATTTACTAGTGATGTAGAGAGATGTTCACAAGGCGCGAGACCCGGACTGCAAATTTTGTGCCCATATTTACAACTCTTAATAAAGTCAACGTTTTCTTTCGTTGTTGCACTAGTTACCTTCATCTGTTGCAAACCTTTCGTCGTCAAATTATCAATCCGCCCAAATCTTTTCTCATCCCACGAGAGATCTGTATGGGGAAAGTCCTTCACTGGTCCTCCCAGTTCTGAAGTCAAACGCATCTCAACTTCGGATCGGAAGTGACACATGTAACAGTAAGATGTAGCACACGGCAAGACATCGGACATCGGGCTCAGTAAACGTATCCAGCCTCCCTTCAAATCAACAATCTCCTCATGTTAGCGGCCTGGAGACGACGAAAGGAGGTATGCCGAGCAATTGCAAGCAGCTGACTGATCGAAAATGTCCTGAAATTGGAAGACAGTCTGCAAATGCTCGTGCTTGGATGGATGAAGACCAATCGACAGAGCAGATTCATGTATTTGCGGTGTACTCCGCAAACGCAGTACTCAATTGACAGTAAGGTGACGGCTTTGCGGCACGAGGAGAGAAACCACAGAAGGACAAGGAAGCTCGAAAGTCGAGAGCGGGCGCGACGGGCGTTATCCGGTCGCAGCGGTGAACTCCGAGCCAGAAAATGCGAAGAGGAGGCGGACGAGGAGGAGGAGCTTGAATTTGCCGCGGTCGATGCTGTCAGTCATCGAGGTCTGATGTCGGCAGATTTTACTTCCTGCTTGAGCTTGAGGCCGAATCCTTCGTGCTTTCGATCCCTCGCTCATACGCAGGCGGGTGGAGGTCGACCCGGAGGATTGTTTGCTTCATGGTCGCAGCGCTTCTGGGACCGGCCTCGTTGCGCTCTGCGCTGCTGCCTCGTTCTCCGCTCCTTTGCTGCTGCCGCTGTCGCGACTGCCGCCGCTCCCCTCCCGCTAGGGAGAATGAAGGAGGACTCCGAACACGCCGTGGTTCTTGACAGAGAAAAATTCAAGCGGAAACTTCAGCTGAAGGCCCTCCGCATTCCTAAAGAACATTCTCATTTCGTGTCCAAAACTCTGTCCAGGTATTAAAGATTTTTGCGCCTCGCTTTTTCTGTCGTCGCCGGTGAACAATTCGGATTATGTTCTTGGTATCCTCGATGGGATTCGTGTGCTATGAGTTTATGTTGCGCATTATCCAGGTCCTTGTCATTTCCTCGTGGCGGTACAGAATGAGATTTCAGTAGTTAAGACACATTTCTCTATACTTCCTCTTTTTTACAATGTACTGTGTTTTGTAAATTCTGCAAATTCAGCTCATGCAAGATTTATTAAGTGTGTGGTGAGATTTATTTATTTAAATGTGGGCATTCTGGAAAGGAGGATTTTAGAATGGATGAAAAACTGTGTCTTTTACGTGACTCACAGGTTCACTTTGGAGAGGCAGCGTTTGAAGCATGTAATCCACGACCCGTTGAGCGCCCAGAATCGTCTGGTCCTTCTTGCCGAGAACGTCAGTGAAACTGGTAAGTGATACTTTGTCTTCCGGTGTAATAATTCACGTTTAGCAATATCTTTATGGTCATAGAGGTTGATTATGCTTCCATATATTTGCATCGCTTCCGGTGCTCGAATCAGGGCTTTTTTCACGATAAGCTGTCTCGTGCATCTAGCAGTTTATTGTGGTCTAACCGTTGGAATCGCTTGCAGGTTTACCAGAAGAGAAGGTAGCTGCGATTAAAGAAGTTACAGAAGTGGAATTTATTCCTCATGAGATTGACCTTGACTACTCGTACTTCACTGTTGGTGAGAATACATGGATTGAATCAAGTAAAATTGAACTAGATGCTGTGATTCAGTTTTGGTTCGATGTTTCAACTCTGTTTGAAGTCTCCAATTTCCTAGACGACATTGTACCTCTGCACTTAAATCAAACATAGCAGAAGGGGCTGAAAAGTTTATACGGGGAGTACGCAAATTGTTCACAAAATTATGCTACTGATCTTTTGTGAAGCTTGTTGATCGATGTCACGGACGCTGATGCTGCCATGGGTGACGCAGAACAAGTTTTGAAGGAGATTCTTCCCGAAGGCTGGAAAGTGCCGGCGTCTTTTGAAACAGTTGGTACGTGCTTGCTCTGGGCTTAGTATATCTGTCACTGGTTGCATTTTTTAGGAATTTCTGGGTTAAACTACCTGACCACTATCTGTTTCAGTTCACTTGGCTCGGTTTCTTTCTGTAGTATATCTTTTCTAAACTTGCGCCACCAACTCTTGCAGGTCACATTGCGCATCTCAACTTGACAGATGAATTGCTCCCGTACAGGAAGGTCATCGCAGAGGTGTTCTTAGATGTGAGCAATTTATTTGACTTTTGCATCAGTCATAGCAGATATGAGCCAGCGCTATATTTGCTTCTCTTTCATGTCTTCAGATGTTTTGTGGAACTTTACATCTATTGATTTCTTCTTAGTCTAATCTGTAGACAATTTGCTGCATAAATAATGAAATGTGTGTCAAGCCCCTGTCTTATACAGAGAAGACTAGTGGCCAAGTACATTGTGTTTCTATTCCTCTTCAAATAAGTCTGTACCTCGAATCAACTGAAATGGACTTCGGTTTGTAATGTTTATTCGCAGGCTTCTAGTTTTCTCGAAGTATTGCACCTTGCACTTTTTAGGTTCTGCCAAGCTAAGAAACACTTTCACTTTTACAGAAAAATTCTCCAAAGATCAGGACCATCGTGAACAAGGTAGGCACCATTTCCAATGAATTCCGAGTTCCAACATGGGAAGTTTTGGCAGGAGACACAGATCTGGTCGCTGAAGTTAAGCAGCAGGGCTCGACATTTCGGCTGGACTTCGGTCTCGTTTACTGGAACTCTAGGTTAGAGTTTGAACACAAGCGATTACCGTCACAATTTAAGCCAGGGCAGGTCATAGTCGATATGTTTGCTGGCATTGGTCCGTTTGCCATTCCAGCAGCACAGAAAGGCTGTGTTGTGCTGGCCAACGACTTGAATCCAGACAGCATTAAGTACTTGAAAATCAATGCGAAAGTGAACAAAGTGGAGGGGAGGGTCTTCGCTTACAACATGGATGCGCGTGAGTTTATGAAGCACATTGTGAAAAAGGTGGCCACTGATACAGACAGCGTAAAGACGCTAGAGGACGGGGATCAAAATGGGTCGCCGGCTAAAGGACCGCCATTCTCCACTGAGAGAGCAGACGCTACTGGAGGTAATGGCCGGAAGGCGGACTTATTTACTTCAAGGTTGAAACTTTTGACGGAGATGAAAGCACTCGTCATGATCGTAGCTCATCACATTACGGATTTAAACCAATATGCTAACTAGAATAACATGGTTGACTCAGATGAAAAAACAGCCAAGTAGCTGTTTTGAAACTGTTAATCATCATTGCCTTGTAGAGTGCAAATTCTACACCAGGTTGCTTCTGGATTCTAGACTGAATTGAGGCCTGAAATATTCCTTTGGTGAGTGTGAGTATGTGGAGTCTTGGCCTAATTGTATTGGTATCAGAGGACAGGAAGCAAGAAGCCAAGGAGTTCAAGGTAAAAGGAAAGGCAAAGGGCAAACAAGACGTTCAAGTTCCTCCTCCGATGCCATGGGAAGGATTTCATCACGTTCCAATGAACCTACCAGCATCTGCACTAGAGTTTCTGGGTAAGAACTTCAGAAGTGCTTTGCTGTCCTTTCGGGAAAGATAGGATTCCTACCAGCTTTTCCTGATCATTGAGCAGAGGTTTGGACATTTTCAAGCTTTTAGATACGAAGGACAAAGAACCGCTTTATACTAAGAATATGTGGTTGCAGATGTATTCCAAGGACTTCTGTCAAGAGATCATTGGAAGGGCCCAATGCCGCGGATTCACTGCTATTGCTTTATGAGGGCTATCGAAACTCACGCAGACGTTCTCAAGGTCTTCATCTGTCATGGTGTCATCGTCCTACACAGTCGATTAGTTTCATGGTCAGGATTTGAAGACGCTGGTATCTGCTCTGCTTTGTCTTTGTAGGTTCATTTAGAACCTTGGTTTCATCATGAGACTCGTTCCCTCGCACGCATTACTTCCATCTTATGGTCTACAAACGTTGTCATTTGTACATCAGCGCGCTGAAGGCATTTTAGGAGGGGTTATCAAGGATCCACAAGTGTGGACTGTCCGAGACGTCGCCCCAAACAAGGTCAAGCTCTATGCGACTTTTTTTGAAAGGTTGCGAAATTGAACATCAGAGTTTTTTTATCATTCTCCCGAGATTATTTTTCAAAGGATCTGAGTTGCAGAAACATGGTCGACTGGGCTGTGCAGATTATGCTATGCATCAGCTTTGATCTGCCTGAGGCCGTAGCATTCGGAGAAGTGAGCGAAGAAGTTTCGCCAGCTAAATTTTTGCCTGCTCAGGAGAACTTGGAGTCCGCACCCGAAGAAGTATCTTCACCACAGCCTGTACAGCTACAAAGTAAACGCCCTCGAACGGAGTGTGAGCCACCCGTTTCTTGAGTGGTCCAAATGGTTGAAAAGTAGCAGTTATAAAATTTACTTGACCATGGCAATATCTATTATGCCGGTCAATTGCCGGTCCAATTTATCGTGGTTAAGTTTCATGAAGCCAAATGCCCACAATGTGTAGTACAAGTTCTCGATCTTCAAGCCTGGATCACAGTCATGCATGTTGGTTTTGTTGCAACACCGAATGGATGTCGAACACTCGCTTGGTTTCTGACATATTTGAGCAACAAATGTTGGCCGATTTGGAGTCTGTTGGCTCTAGCTCAGGCTGTCCGAAAAGATCTTCGATACACAGACGACCATTATGACTGTCGTGAACTCTTAAGTAAATACCGTAAGCACATCCTAATGCATGCAGCATTGTACCTCACGACGAGAATCAATCACCTGGATCCACTAGTTATCAACTTACCATGGTCAAGAGGGACTTAGAGATCTGAGTATCGGTTTTCCCAAAGCCGCCCACAGGCAGAAACACTCAGTGCTTTAACTCTTTTTCTTCAGAGGTGAAGAGTCGATATCAATCCAACATATCAGAATAAGAATGCAATATTTCAGGAACTAGAAGATCGAAGGAGTGGAACGAATCTCCTAAAAATGGCACTCACGGACACGATGACATACCCGATGGGAGTAACACTGCGCAGACTCTAGAAGTTTCAGAGGATTGTGATCGTTACGTGACGAAAGTGACCTCTATTGCGGTGCAAAAACTCATCATAGATTCAAATCCTACACCTCTCATGTTGTTGGAATACGTGCAGAATAAATCATATTCCTGGGCAATCAAAAAAGGCGAAAGTAAGAACCTCTCATCTCTAAACTATTAACGTACGTCTGGATTCTATGTGTTCCTCAATCTTAACGCATCCGATATTTAACGATTTGTTATGACAATTACAGAGGCCACCAGAAACCTCCAAATTCCAAAGATAGCAATCGTTTTCTTACGCACCAAGCACACGCAAATGAGCGATTTCTAAATCATTTCAGTTATTCGTAAACATCGTTGGGCATATCGCAGACAGTGACGTGAACTCAGGCTACCACCACGGTACCGACTACAGACCATTGGTGGAGCAACCTCGAGCCTTCAAATGCGGCACGCAATTCGATTGGCGTGAACTGACGTGGGTGGGTGGGAGTAGGTCGCAAATGTAAAGGCAGCAGAATGAAAGTTCACAAAACTGGCGGACATCGCAAGGCTGACAGAACGAGCCATACATCTGATTGCCGCTCTCATTGCAACGAGCCTTGATCGACGAATGCAAGTCTGTTCTAGGAAGGCAACCATCCCCATGACACGCATCATCAAACACGGCATGTTTTAGGAGTAATCCTGACCATATGTTTACGTGGGTTGAATGACAAACAAGGTCTCATAGCACGAGAATCATTCACCTTATAGTGAGGCTGGTTAACACTGGCCTCTACCACAACGGCATCAAAATATTATTTCTTTGTTTATTTATATTTATGCATATATTTATTTATTGATCAAACTGTATGAAAGAAAGGGGGCCAATTGGATAGAGTTAGTGATGGGGAAGATCAAGCCATACACCCTACACACCCTACAACGCCAGGAACTTCTCCGAATCCTGCGTGAACACCCCTAGCCATCACTATCTACTACCAATATACTTCACATCTTTAATATCGTTATTTATTGATTTAATTATGTCAAGTAACCAAAAGACTATTTTGCAATGTGATATCTGAGTTTCCTATTCTTTATTATCTGAGTACTATTCTTTATGAACCTGAACGTTAGGGCTCTTATGTGCATAACGTTGTAATGTACCTTTAAGATTTTAAGATGAATGGTACGCTACTATAGTTGAAAATATATAATTTAAAAATCATACTTGTATAAGTATCCATATCCACACATGCTCAATCCAATTAACGATCCAAAATATAAGTTTTTCTAAAGTATATTCATCTACAACGCTCCAAGTCACACGTAAATTCAGAAAGTATTTTCAAAAAAAATTTATTCCATTATATTTGAATTGTAATATATACTTTTTTCCAATTCTAGCTCATTTTTTTAATTTTAATGACTAAATGATATAGTTAGATTAGCTGAAAAGCCCAAAGTTGTTAGTAAGAAAATTAGCTCAAACCAGATGTCAACATAACATTTTTGAATTTCATAAGTCTCAAAATCCAAATATATGTGTACAGTTACGCATATTACTATCCTCAGTTTTGGAAATTTTTTTGAGATAAGTTCAGAAAAGTTTGAGTAGAGTAAATTAGATTAGTAGTATAAAGTAGATAATAGAAAGCTACATGATGAAAGCAATTCAACTGAAAATTCACTTGATGATTCTAAGCTAAGTAGATAAAATATGTACACCGTCATTCAGAAAACCTCAATTTCAACAATTAGTAGATTATTATTATGCATATCTCTTCTATTTAGGCGAGCAAATATAGAAGAGATGAATTACATTGAATATCTTGGATGCTTCTACTTTTTTGGGGCTGTATTTGTAAGTTTTTACGGGAAGTATTTTATCATGTCACGTGTAAAACGAAAATGAATACAGATCATCATTACATTAAGATAGACATCTGAAAAAATGAACTAGTGAATAGCAAGAAATTGAAAAGATCTAATTGAGCTTGGACTAAACGTTGAATTAACTACCAATATGAAAATAAATGTGATAATATGATGCTCGGCTGCGTACTTAGTTTATTCCATAAGGGTGGACACTGTCCCACATATTTGCTATAGATATGCCACATATGACACCGTTGTATCGTATGAACATGTCTGTTAAATCAATATCATTGACGCATAGCTGAAATCATATGTACATATGGTCGTCTTATGCTTTCACAAGTTCAACAACTATATCCCACATACATAGACATACAATAACATAATTCTGTAGTCTTCAATCACGTCAATCTATACTCTTTTATATTGAAGAGATCAGAAAAAAGTATAAAACTATACCATAAAAACTATATGCAACATCGTCAATGGCTGGTACACGAGGGCATGGGCTATATCGAAGGCTGCATGTCGACCCAACACTTGGGACTGGCCCGATCTATCGCCCATGCCAGTGTACCGCAGTACGGGCTGTGGAGGTCACCGGTCGAACAGCCGGTGAGGTCATCCATGAGTCACCAGGCGAGGTACATACAGTACACACTCGACGGTATCACGATGCGCGATCGGTTGACATGGGATTTAACGACTTACCTACTGGCGGTAAAGTGAGCCTGTAGCTCTAGGGGTTCCCGGTGCCCCGGTGACAGAAAGACAGACAGGCGTACATTCCGGGCGAGGAGCGAAGCGGACCCGCGCGTCCCTTAGCCGCAAAGCTGCCGAGAAGTGTATGCACAACACGGCGTCTGCGGTGGTTCGTCGATTCGTTCGTGTGAAAGCGAGAGAGAGAGCGAGCGAGCTCCCGCGTTCTTGAATTTACGGAAAATTTACGGGAGTGGGCCGCAAAGTGGTGCGGAAGATGCGTGCAGACGGGATGGTCCTTTGGTCGAGTAATTAAGCAGGTAAGTGAATCTCGGGAGCGTTCGTCGAAGGCGTATGCCGCAAGTGGAGGTTTGAGTTTGCGTTCATTCTTCGAGAGATTTATCGAGCGCAGGCAAGCGGGCGCGGGAGAGCGAGCGGGGCCGACGCAGGGACGGCATCGCTGCCTCTGCTTGCGTGCTTGCGATGTGCGAGGCGATGGATGTTCCTCCTCCCTAAGGATTCAGTCTTCTTTTCTGCGTCTGCAGCAGCGGCCAGGGGCGCGAGGGAGGGAGGGCCTGGAGGAGGAGGAGGAGGAGGAGGAGGACGTATGCGCCCACGAGGTCGCGATTTCTGATTTCTGCGCTGGGAGAAGATCGCTCCTCGAGCGACCCCGACGTGGAAGCAGTCATGGCGCTATCTTTCATCGCGTTGCCTCTCGGGCTGATGTTCCTCATTTCGGGATTCCTCATTAATGGCCTTCAGGTTGGTTTCTTGGATCTCTGTCATGTTGGGTTCTCAGGGGGCGCGCTTTTTGAGGTGTTTGTTCTTGGATGTCTTTCCTTCTCTCGGAGGAGAGAGAAAGCGTATGATTGCGGCTGGCCTTGTATGACGTGCGTACAAGGACATGGTTGATGGGTAGGTTTTTGTCTCCTATGCGATTGGCTTCCAGTCAGCAGAGATCTTTTCATTGTGTACACGGCGTGGGTTGACAAACCATGTAATTGAATTCGTTTAAGCTGAATCACGGAATAGTTGGACGTGTGTAATAAGCTGTTCCCCTTTTTAATCGTTGGATCATACGAGGAGCTCGATTCTGGACATCGAATCCTCTCCTCGTACCCCTTGATTGTGTAGGAAGGTAATTGTAGCCTTCGGGCTCAAAACTGTATAAAGAAAGAAGCTCTTTCGTATATTACACTTTTCGGAACGTATGGATGTGAAGGCAGCTGGAAACTGAAGTAGTTCTGGTTCTCCGCAGGTGCTGTCCTTGGTACTTCTGTTGTTTTCAAGAAAGGCCTACAGAGTCGTAAACATGATTATGATGGACATATTGTGGTCAGAGCTTGTTTGGCTTCTCGACTGGTGGGCCGGTGTAAAGGTCAGTGTTTTTAAAATCTCAAATCACTGCATTTACATACGATTCGTTTTTCTCTTTCTCACATACGAACCCGTCAGATTTTTCGAAATCCTGACAGTCGTAGAGTATCGGATTGCCTCCTCGGTATGACAGGTGCGGTTGTACGCGGACGGTGAGGCCATGAAGTATTTAGGTGAGCAATTTAGCTTCAACGCGGTACAATTCAACCACAGGCTGAACATGCGGATGGACGTTGAAATTTTATGTGATGTCTTGGATTATCCCGCTGCTTTGGTTTAGTAAGTACTCTGTTTTAACGAGAAAGAACTTAAGGTTGAGCTTTGTACTCTTCGAATACTCATGGCTTCTGTTACTTTCAGGTAAAGAGCACGCTCTGCTTATCTGTAATCACCGGAGTGATATCGATTGGCTTGTCGGTTGGCTTCTGGCACAGGTGATTGAAATCTAATGCTGTCTGTCATAAGACCTCCCTCGACGAATGTGTCCTGGTAGATCTACTGCAATGAAGGTTCTGAAAATGACTTTTGTGGTGCTAGTGGCCTTGTACAATTACCCTGACAGCTTGTTGTTGATGTGCAACAGCGCTTCGGATGTCTTGGTGGTACAAGGGCGGTTATGAAGCAATCAGTCAAGTACCTACCGGTATGTTTATTGACTCAGCGCAGATTCTCCTCCCCCGCTTTCTCAAATAATTTCATTATCACAGAATGGTACGTGAAACAGGTTTGTAAGCAGACATACACAGGCAGACTTATCTCGATCAAAATAATTGTGCTAGGATTGGGATTGTGGCAATCACTCGAAATTGACACATCTAGTACCTGCATTTATTATCAGTCTTTTAGTCAATCTCAAACTCCTTTTGATGCAGGTCATTGGGTGGTCCATGTACTTCTCAGAGTATGTATTTCTGGCGAGAAGCTGGGCCAAAGACGAGGTTACTTTAAAGGTGAGAACGTGAAACAATCTTTCTTCATTCAGATGCTGTGACCACTGTCGGAGGAAATTCAGTTACTATAGGACCTTTTAGCTCTGGCCGTAGTTGGCACCTCAATATAACTTCAAACGACGGGTTGTACTGGATGGTTATCAAGTATCGAAGATGAGATGGAAATAATCAAATCGTGTTCCTGTCGGTTCATGAGGATACGTAGCTTCATGTTCTACTCGCCTTGCGGGCTGTGTACTACACATTTTAGAAATTCAACGGACATGAGTTCTATGACTGGGTTGGAACTGATGATTGTTGATTTTCCACAATGTGTGGTATATTTAGGCAAAAGTTGACAGCAGAGTAGACGTATCGGTCCAGTCGCGTTAATTCATTTGTAAACTCAGTATTGCACAAATATTGAATGAATTCTTTGATGTGTAGTCTGCCATGAAGTTTCTTTCAAGGATCAAAACCCAAAGAACGAAATATTTCCAGTTTATGAACCAAATGTCTGCCGATGCTTTCTCATGCGGGCAGAACTAGTCGCCACATTTGCACGTCATATTATGGGAACTACAAGTATGCACAATGGCGAAAATACCTCCGTTACAAAGGTTTATGGACTTGTATTCTATTGATATATGTGAGCTTCACCGGAGCCTGCCGTAGGGGAAGTGGCGTTCTTCTTACTAACCTATTTGGACACGCATGCAGGCAGGGTACCGGAGTTTGAAAGGTTTCCCCAGGCCTTTCTGGCTGGCTCTGTTTGTGGAGGGCACGCGATTCACAAAGAAAAAGTTGGAAGCAGCACAAGAGTATGCTGCTTCTGCCAACATGCACATTCCGCAGAATGTCCTGATTCCTCGAACAAAGGTAAGCTTATTTGTATAATTGTCGATTTCTTATGTTTCTTCGTTTATTGAATCTCAGTGGCACATAGAACTTGAATTCTGATGCTTTGGTTGGACCGCAACTCTTGGGATGGAAAGTCCAGGCTTATCTTTTTCTGTAGATCCGTAATGTGACTGGAGTGAACTGCTAGATATGGATATAGTTCGGGAATAATATCATTCGCGGTTATCCCTAATAGTAGACGACTTACTGCAAGCTTCGTGCCTGGTGCCAACGCCGTTGAGGATTCTGAACTTTGGCACTCTGTTTTCTTTCTGGAAGGGTTTTGTATCAGCAATTGCGAACTTGCGGGAGTTCGTGCCTGCTGTATATGATATGACGCTTGCTGTGTCCAACGACTCTACAAACCCCACCATGTCGGGAATCCTCAAGGGACAGTCTTCAACGGTAGGAATTCTACGCCACAATTTCCTAAGTCAGCACCTGCGTTTCAGTAGTTTTGAGTCGAGCGCTGAGTATGAAAGCGAGTCAGGTCCAACGTAGAGGGTCTGCATGTCTGACCTGTGTTCTTTCTGAGTTCTCGTTAAGTGATAGTTTTAGTCGTGTTCCTCATAGATCCACGTGCATCTGAGGAGGGTTCCTATCGAGACTCTCCCGAAAGCCGACGAAGAAATTGCTGCCTGGTGTAAAGAAGCATTCGTGAAGAAGGTGCGGTTTCTATTCATGACGTTTGCGCCTAGTTCACTTGTGGAATGTTCTCAAATGGTGTACGTCATAATGTTTCGCAATACGTTTCTGCTTAGTGATATGGTCACGTTGCACAAGTATTTTCTATACGCGAACTCAGGCTCTCATGAAGAGGTTTTTGTGTCCGTCTATTAGTTTTTTTCAACAGATTTGTTAATCGATATCAACGAGAAATTTAACGTCGGAAGGAATAACTGCTCCTGCTAAGTCCAATATATTATAATCTTGACTGGCCATTCAGTTACTGATTTGCACGGCTGGCCATACTTCTCTTGCTCCTGACAGATTAACAGACCTGTATCCTGAATTATCTTATCCTTTGTTATATCCAGGATGAGATGCTAGATGACCACAATAAAATCAACAGTTTTGGAGAAGACTTGTACCAGCCTATCGCTCGCACCAAGGCTCCTCTCTTGGTATGTGCAATAAATGTCTCTTGAATGCATATGTAGTCGCGATGACCCTTAGTCTATTCTGAGCTTCTAGTAATTCATTCTAGATGATGGACTCATGTGTGAAACTCTTTTTTCAGATCGTGATTGGATGGGGTATTTTCCTGTTGACTTCATCCATCTGGCTTCTGAGGGATGTATTGTCAACCTGGCGCGGGTGTATGTACGTTGCTGGAGCTCTGTCCCTCATATCTGTACTGCTAGAAGTCTTGATTGGTGCCTCGCAAGCAGAACGGTCGAGTTCGAAGTCAAGCTCACGGCCTTCATCCAAGAGTTCCGCTGTAGTCAAAACAGAAGAGAAGAAGAAGAAATGAGAGCTATTGTAAGTCCGAATTTCTTTTTGTGCCTCCTGCAACCGCTCATTTGGACCCCTTCAGCTCAAGTACTCTGGTAACATTTTTCGAGGGAGGTTTGTATTCTAATCTTCATCCAGATTTGTCACAGAAGACGAAGGAAGTTTGCTTCATACTTACGAAGCTTTAGCAATTGTCCATGCTTGGAAACCGTTTACCCCAAGGTGCATTTCGAGTGGACAGCCCTCTTACCATACCAAATTCTTGTGAAGTCCTGATACCACCTTGGGATGTAGAGATATGAAACTACAGAGGACTTCATGCCGCGCTCTTGCTGTTAAATTACGATTTGATCACTGTCAGATGTTATTCATTCGTCATTTTATTCATTAGTCCCCCTTCGTAACACTCTTTAGAATGGGTACGCATCCATGGTGTTCTTTCTTACCTCTGGATATAGCCCGGTAGCTATTCAAAGGTGTGCGGGATATTTAAGTAAAGCCTGACTTGAGTGCCCTACTTTCGGGGTTTTTCCTCTCGACTGGTGCTTTTACAGGGTTCTATACGTGTCTATGGATGTTTATGCCTCATTCCTATACCCTTGATCGAAAGTTGTGGACGGCAGCTTCAGTTTTGTACCTATCTCGGGGTTGGTAGCCTCGGCCGTTGCTTAATTTTCATTGCAACTATTCATACACGTCTGAAGTGTGATATTGCGGAATGCACGTGATAGTATTGAAAACTGCCTGAGAGAAGGATTACCAGACGACAACAAGGAACACCATTTAAAATGCCCTACGTGGTTAAGTACCTCATGACATGCTTTTGTAAAGGTAGTAGCTGTGTCCATGGGGTACAGAATCAGAGTACTTGGCTGTTGTGTACCTAGGATAGCTTTGAAACAGGTGAATGAAGAGAGAATTTTAAACGTTGGAGTACGGGAACTCAAGTTTAGGTAACATCAGATCCTGGCTAAGGGTAATCTTAACGGCGTGGAGGAGACCAGGAAGTGACCAGGGTGGTTCTTCTTGAAGTCCACATAGACTTCGAGAAGAACTTTGGGGAAGTTTGGATTTCCAATGAAATGAAGAGTTAACGAACAATTTTGGATCCCTCAAACTACATTATTATTGTCAATGGAATTGTGATTTTCAGTGGTCCTTGTTGGAGACCAAAATCAAAAGAAAAAACGTCATCATCTTGCATAGCATTCATTAACAGAATTGATGACGTGACGAAAGGTAAATTACTAGCGCGATTCTGTAGATGTTCAGTGGTACACTTCGAAATTGTGAAGAGCAGACTGTTATAACTCTCCTACGAGAAAATGGGACACAACGGGACGCGATACAATATCTAACGAGTTTTGATCAAACAATACATTTGTCATGGAGTTTGCTGCAGGGCTTACACTGCATGACGGATGATCTTATGGAGAATAGTGTGTGGTAGCACAGAGAGAACTGAGCTCTTGGCTTGAAGACGCAAGAGGAATTTATGTTTTGAAGGATTGGAAACCACAGGTAGAAATAGAGAATGACTTGATTTCAAAGCTTCCCCTAAGTCTAAAGTAAAGTTTGGAGCTACTATAATTGAGTAATTGTGAGATTGAGACTGGAGGGTAGAAGGTGAATGTATTCAAAAGTAAATATTTAGATTAGACAATCAAATTCGAACGTGTGAAACTCGTGTAAAGGTTTGGATAGATTTGCAATAAAATGACTGGGACATCCATATAATGTAGCAAAACCTCTTCTTGATATGCTTTAAAAGTCAGGTGTTTGTAAAGCAAATAAACATTCACATTACATACAAATAAATAACACTCTATGTTAAATATCAATACATCAACATTTATGTAAGATGGGTTCACAACTTGCAACATCTGCACACTTTCATATTTGATCAAGTTTACATTTCATGTTGATGATCATAAACTGCTTTGCAATATATCTTCATGAACTTGGGAGTCAGACAAAAAATCTGAAATGTTTTGACTACACAATGTCAAGTGATTTGAATTGATTTTACAATCTGAGTAAGCCATGACTAGTCTATCATTAGTTGAAATGTATTACCAATTTTGACTTATATACGATTATACAATATGACACTTAGAATAAAATATATTTTTAAGTATTTGTTCATCTCGTTTTTCGTTATTGAGCAAATTGATCTGATAAATCATTTTCAAAGAGAATGAGTTTAGAAAAGTGATTAATGTGTTCATGAACTAATAGATGCAGAAGCAAACAGGCTATCACTTTGAGTCTAAATAAAATTAAAAACAAAGAAATACATTATTCACTGCAATTTATGTTCAGACCAATGGTGTCATTGGAAGTTTTGGTAAATTCTCTTACAAATGACTAATTTGTTGATTGCACTATTTGATATTTAGCTAATATTTAGTTGAATCAATGCTTGAATGAACTCCTACTAATAAAAATTATATATTTATGAAATATCCATAATAATTTGAAGACATATTGAAGAAAATTATTACAGTGTTAATAAATAAGTTGTCCAAATTCAGATATTCAATAATGATCTCCAAGAGTTGCAAATGGTTTTTCTTGTACCTAAATCTTTAGCATTTGATGCTAATGTTGATATATTATTATATAGATTTAGTATATAAGACTTTATATCAATATTTATTATCTAAGGTTATTTTTTATTAATTATGATAACATAAAAATTAAATAAAAATTATTTTTACAAAATAATGTATTTTATGATGTAAAATCATTCATCAAAGCTAAAAGTGAAGAAAATTTAAAATTTAAAAATTATGTAAATAAAAAATGACATCTAATTGCTATATGTTAACAAATTATTTTTAAAAAAACTTTAAACTTAAAATTTTTTAATCAAATTGAAAAAATATATATAATTTGATATATTTATGATTTCAAATGTTTAAAAGTTTATTACTTGAAGCTTTTAATTATTTTATGAAACAAACTTTAACACCAATAAGTAGATGTTCCAAAATAAATGGCAATAATTATGATAATTTACATTAGTATTGTAGTATAGTAATACAAAAATATTGATAAAATCAATGTTTTTTTGAATTCTTTTATTATAGATCAAAAGATATTTAAAATATATTAAATAGATAAAATATCCAAGATTCCATCTTGAGTAAAATAACTTGAATATACGTTTTATCTTCTTATAAAATAATAAAACCATTTATATACAATTTGCTAGTTAAGTAGGTTTGTGGCAGTAGTTATGATTTCTTCCTTAATATATCCTTTGATTCATTTTTCTGGCGAAAGAGAGAAATAAATCTGTTTGGCCAGATTTCAACCGGTGAAATGTTACAGATTTTCAAGATTTAGACCACGGAATGGTAATTCCAAAAGTTTACAACAGTGTAGATTGTGGATCATTGCAGAGTTTAAATCGTTGCAGGTTCCAGAAGATGTTAACATGCTAACAACAATGAACGTCATATATCTTCAACTTTGTTGAAAGAGTCGGTCATACTAAGCTTGACGATTGTTTTTGCGCAAGGACAGTGCATGTACTACGTAAATTTTATTTCCATGGAACTTGATGAGATATAATGTTCCTTACCTTATTGAGTACTTTGCACTCATTCTTCAATATATTCATATGCCAAGTCTTTTCAATGCTTAGAGCTTATATTCAAAAATCTGATACTAGGCATACTTCTTCTGCGGTTGACTAGTGTGTAACATTGTTAAACTACAAATCTTTGCCTGTCAAAATATAATTTTGAGTTCTTCCCCTCGCAATGCAGATCCTTGTGCCCGATTTATTCAGACTGAAAGGTGCCAATAATGATATAGCGGAGGTTTGCATATTGATTTTCGTACCCTCTATGCCGATGTACAAAAGAGCAAAAGGCCACTGAAGTATCAGTGGTTTATCGACACTATATAATGACCTTCTGGGCATGTGAACATCAGTGTTTTCTTACATGTAATCCACTTAGTGATAATTCTAGCGAAGACCCCCCAAAATTAGACGTGAGGACAAAGCAGGATAACGAAAGCTCGTTCTCGTACAGTCCACAGATTATAACGAGTCGAATTAATTCATATTCACACTCATATTCACAAGGTTGATTTATCGGGCCTAGGCCCCATCGTAACCCCTCTGGATCGCTCCTTCATGAATCTTCCGTCCATCTTGGTATTTTACTTGGTATATCTTTATTATTAATGAAAGTTAATTCACGAGTGCGAGTAGGTGATACAAGAAGTAACAGGCTAAAATAGGAGTATCAGTTGACCCACCACACAATCTATGTCCTCATAAATTGCATAGACTGGTAGGTACCGGAAAGCTGAACCGGTCACCCCTTTCGGAAACCATATGGATGTGGAGGAAATACATACAACAAAATACAGTTAGGGTTTTGTCCCACGGTCCTCCTTACATTTAGGTGCTGATAACGCATCCCCCAATTGTCTACAAGCAAAATGCTGCATCTTCTGTGGATTTTACTTTCTGTTATTAGAGTCTCAACCCTCACTTCCTCCGTGATTTCTGGTATACCATCCCCTTTATTTTCTGCTAGATGGCGACCCAACGCGAATGTAAATACAATCGGGTAAAATTTTATTTATTCCAAAGTGACTTTTACATACAAAAACAACATGGTTTAAGTTGATTTATTAAATAGACTTCAATGAAGCAACTTAGACCATGCAAATATCTAAATTGAATCTTGGTAGCTGAGTTATCTTAGAATAGATTCCGCACCACCATCTCTTATTGATGTATTCTGTGTATATAATCATATTGGTCATGTATGCATAAGATCAAGCCAATAAATCGATAGATAAAGCCAAAGCCTCCGATATATATTCACTGACGGAAGCTAAAGAACTATGACTTGAGAAAAAGGATATGTTACATATAATTTTCTCAAGTATCTAAGAATGATATGTACAATAACAGAAATTTAGTGAGCAATGTTATCCCTCACCCCAGGCTAATGTGCACTACTTTTCCACTTTTCTCTTTGACCTCGAATATTATATCCCGGAGCTCAAAGAAATATAGGAAAAGCTCTCACCAATCACAGAGCTCCGTTAAGTAGCGTGGGTGATGACTAAAATTTTTAATTTATATTGAATCAATAGTTACATATCAGAATTATGTGAACATTAAAATGTGCTAACAACTTGCAGCATAATTTTAAAAATATTTTATGTTAGTACGACAGTTGTGTCTAGAACAATGATATAAATTTGTATTTTTTTAATGTTATTAAGATTAAAATGATTGCATCTTTCAAAACCTTAAAACATAAACGATTATAAGTTTATGGTAAGTCTAATTACTAAATTTATAAATATAACTCACTGGAATTGATGTTTAATTTTTTTTGCAAAAATCTGTGCAACTTTATCAAAATGGTGAAATAATGATGATATTGCTTAAAATTTTAGCTTCATTTTTTAAAAAAATGAGATGAATATTTTAAAAAAATTTTCATCTGATATTCTTTTAAGTACAAGTTGGATAAAAACATATTGTTGATTGATTTTTCAGAATTTTGAGTATTTTTTGATTTTGACAAATGAGTTAGGAATTTTCAAAAATGATGAAATTTAATAATATAATGTTTATTCAAAAACAGATATCAATAGTTAGGTTTTCATTTGAATTTCAAAAGTCCCATTTGAGAAAAAGAATCAACAACCAAAAGTTTCTAGAGAAAAATTTGTCAGAAAATGTGATGAGATAAAAAATAAAGTCACACTGATTTTTTTATAAATTCAAATATTTTACAGATTGCTAGTAACTAGGAAACATATTCAAATTTATGATGCATTCAAGTTTTTTTCGTTAAATTTTGCATATAACAAGGACTGTTTTAATAATTTTTGCATGCTTTATAATGTATCAAATGCTTTATTTTCAGTTTTTTGCTAAAAATATGCAAATGATGATATTCTCCTATTTATATAAAAAAATTAAAGTTGATATTAAGTATATTTTACATAGACACACGCTATTTTTAGAAAAA